TATAGGCTAAGGGTTCCAGGGTCCCAGCGACACATCCCCACCCAGAAATTCCCAAAGTACCTCCCCCGGGCGTTGTCTCGGCAATTCTATATTTCCTTCTGGTTTCCAGTTAATTCTATCTTTGCAACTTTTATAATGGAACTGAAAAAGAGGTACAATTTTCCAAACCTAACAGCGACTAACTAAAGGACCTTTATAGAATATGGCTTACAGTGAAATCATAGTTATATATATAGTCGAGGGAATGGTTAAGAAGCCCGGTTAACATCAAAGGAGCAAACAAACAGGTTAAAATTCATGTTGGAAGGTCCTTGACCTTGCAAATCTGTTGCTTCATGCTCATATAGACTATGGATGAATTAAGTGATCGCAATGCTTCTACTGGTTAGTTGTATGTGCACACATAACCACCTTTTGTATTTTCCCAGGTTTTTCGCAGGATCAACCCCAAAAATAGCCAACCAAAACCTACAACAAAGAACTTTGCCAGGTTTCATAACTATTCCCTCTATCACCTATGGTTGAACACGAACTGTCTCTAAATGTTCTCCACAGTTGTATCTAGAATAAATTACATAAGTTAGCACCGGATTTCCGCAGTTTTGATCGAGTACCTTCAAAGATATATTAGCAGCCAGAACGTCCCGAACTCACTTAGTTTCTTTTTCCAAATGTTCTCTATGATGTAATTAGCGGTCTCGCTGGAACATTAAGATCCATAAAAGGCCAGAAACAAGTCGGTTGGGGTTTTACGTAGTTGATAAATTTTATTGATAATCCACGACAAACATCTTCGGGAAGCGGGGGGGAGGCGAGGGGGGAAACTCCCATATGAAAGATCGATGTCTCTACTTGGTCTCACTTAGGGTGTTGAAGACGAAACGACACTAGTTTTAGTCGCCGGGTAAAAGTGTCTTTTAATTATAAGGTGCACTCAAAGAACGCTGTCATTTCCGTTTTAAGTGGTATCTTTTAGGAGTCAAATAAAACTCGAACCACGTTCAGATTGGTTTCCTTTAGGGGTTTAATTCAACGACGATCACCCCCGACCTTTTCACATAGGCCCCCCCCCCTCCCCTCCGTCCTGGGATAAACGACTGCTAACAATATATCTTTTTGTACAAAATCTGTATTTTCTTGAGATGTTTGCAGCTGAAGTAACTAACAGCGAAATCCGTGAAGATTTTCATCACTACAGAAGTCAGTTGTTCGCATTCAAGTCTACGAAGAAGCAAAGCTGTTTATGTATTCAAAGATTTTTACAACAAACTAAATGTAGGCGGAAAGCCAAGGTGGCTTGTTTTAATTTCACAGCTTCAATAGGTCATTCCCGAGTTGCCCCTTTGTCTCTGTGTCTCTGTGTCAAAACGATCCTTCGTGTGAAACCATCCATATGAAGGTGCGTTTTGACTACAGATTCATTTTCATGCAAATTGCACGAAGACTCGTTCTGAAACTGAGGCAAAAAGTACCTCGGAAATGGTCTGTTTGTAGACCCAACAAACAAGCCAATAATTTCAAAAATTATCTGTCGCCACAGTTTAATAAAACTCTTCTTAATCGACTGTTTGGTCCTCATCATCTTCGTTTTTCTCAATGGCCTGGAAACAAGCAAGAACTCTTTTGTAATGTCTTAGTGGACAAGCTTGAAATTTGTCCCAATCAGACTTTGTAGCGACTTTGGAAGGTATTGCCGTTACAACGATCCACTTGTTTTTTTCAGAATCGTAACGTTCAACCGTTAACGCCCTTGAAATACCTTCATTGCTGATTCCACCCAGTATATACATTATACCATAGCAACAAACCATACTGGCCTCTACACGAGGGAAATTCAACCTTGCTATAAACTGCCATTCATTTGTCGTTACATTGTACACCTCGCAAGATTTTAGATAGTCCTCGCCGTGCCGTTTACCTCCAGCAACATAAATCTTCCCGTGGTAGGCCGCACCAAAAGCACTGTATCTACCCTCTAGAATGCGTGCTGTGTTCTCCCATTTGATCTCCGAGGTATCAAATTTCTTACACGCAGTGGAGGCTGGAATTCCACCAATGAAATACAGACACTTGCCTTCACCCACAATGCAAGCACCTTTGACAATGTCTCCATCAGATGCAGAAATACATTCCCATGAATTAGAGTACTCGTTGTACTTGCTTATGAACTTGAGCCGATGTCCTCTTGCACTCCCTACGCCGTAAACACAGTCCTCGAGCACTGTTGCCATCTCAGGAACCAGTTTGCTCGGTAACTTCAGCATCGTCCATTTACATTTTGTACGAGAATAAGGATTATAACAAAGAAAACCTGACCCAAACAACCTCAAACTGAAATTGTATAATTTCGCGTTCCATGACAACAACTGACGGGGACCCTTGAATTCATATTTTGATGATGTTAGTTGATACCACTTCGCTTGACGAGGAATGTAGCAGAATGCTTGATTTCCACCACAAGCCACTATACCAAGTGGAAATAGATCTTCAAGATGCTCTTGTCGCTTGTCTTTGTCATAATCAATCCATCTAACTACAATGCTGAAGATATCATTTTCACAGGAGATGACTCCATCACTTGAAATCCATCTTTCGACTTCCTCAACAGATAAATTCATGAACTCTTCCGAGTTCACCACAGCAGCAAAATTTGCTGTAATAAATTTATTGGTTTTGTCAATAAGCTCCTCGATATGCAACTGCTCTGCAATGAAGAAAGTTGAAAGGCAATTTGAAGTAGTCATAATTAGAGATCGCGAAGCGATTTTTACGAGATTTGGAAGTAGAAAGAAATCTGCAGCGATCATCACTTCCTCTGCATCTTCTGGCAAAATCTGAACATTTCCAGAGTAAATAAACTCGAGGATAGCTTCCATGAGTCGCGCAGAACAATGCTCAAAATGAATAACTCCTTCTCTGCTTTCCTTCATGTCAGAATTTAGGAGCTTTTCGAAGAAAGGACTTGCTTTTGACAGAATATCTCTATGAGCTTTGATCTCTTTTCCGCCTTCAACCACTATTCTAACATCGCATGGGGTCTCCAAGTGGTGCTGCATCTCGTCACGTTAATTATGTGGCTTCGCGTTTCTATGAGATACTTGGCAAGAAGCACTGTTGCAGTTTCTACTCCAAGCTAAGGAGCCTCCTGCACTTGGCGGAAGAGTGGCGGAAGTCTGCGAAGTGAAAGCAAACCGAGGCGAGCTGGGTACTAGTCGGAAAATCAAGATGGCGGCTGCATGGCGTTCAAATCTTGGTAAATACGTGAGAGAAATCCGTATTCACTTGTGTCAAAAGTCCCAAAGTAGTCAAGGCGTAAGGTAACTGATTACAAAGGAATTAAAACTTTGTTATGATGCTAGTACTCCATGCTTCAATCGCCAGTTACCGTATTTTTGTGCCCTATAACTGTAAAACCAGACATCAGGCATAGCTGATCTAAGCTTATATTGAAGCTTATGCAAGCTTAACTAAGCTTTAACCTTTTTCATTTGATCCTTAGCACATTAATGCAACTATAACTAACACTGCAGCAACAGAGATTGGAGACTGTTACAGAAAGTCAACATCACCGATAATTTTTATTGGGTTGTATGCACATCAAAGATTAGTTTTGATTAATTACCGGTAGCTGTAAACATCTTTTATTTAAGCTTATTTATTTCAAAACATCTTGAAACTACGTAAGGTTACAAATAGAAGCAGTCTTGTTGATGAAAATTTTGAACTATAAGGCAAACACATACATACTTTATTTAACAAGGCAGTTTGGTGCAGTTGTTCTGCATACACAGGTGTGATGTATCACAACTAATGGCAGATTTGTTGGATTTAATTAACACCGAAAGTAGAAAACCGCCCTCTTTTGTTTTCATTTTAGGCTGACACAAACACTTAAATATGGGTAAGAGAATTAGAATGTGCATATGGAAACCATTGTTGGTGGATTGGGTTTCCTAAACTTTTACATTCTTAATTTTCACTTGTGTCATGCAGCATGCAACAAAAACTCATTTGGAAAGTGTCTATATTAATGGAAGGTCTTAATTACGTGGGAAAAGTAAGGAGAAAATACATGGGTGTGCAGCAGGCACAGATGAAAACCACTGTCCATAATATCCACTGGGTGTCTATAGATGTGACGGTGTTGTTGCTTTTGTCTTAGGGACTTTTTGGAGAAATACTACATTGGTATTAAGAAAGAGAATCCCCAAATTCCCATCCTGGTTCGAGAATGTAGTGGAATTCAACCAAAGATGTATGCACGATATGGTAAGAACTTCACTGTAATTTAAAAATGGACTTAAACAAGTGTCAGAGCAAAATTCTGTGGCTGTTTGACCCTATTAATATCACAAACCATTCAGCCACTGTTGAACAATTATCCTCTCAGCTCATGTGGTTTTGAAAGTCACTCGATATAATTCATTAAATTATAATAAAGTTTGAACAATGGAAATTGTGACAGTAACAGTGTTACAATACTTCCTAAGTTTTAGTTTTGACTGAGATATACATATGGATCAAATGCTCAAGACAGTGTGAAGTGACCACATTTTCAAACACCTTGAAGCTCGTTAAAAATACCCTGCTACATGCTGTATTTTCAACTCTCTTGGTGCTTGGGAACATGGTCAAACTTAGTCTCTCGTGTTTAATCCTGGGTTGAGACTGAGTTGACTTTTTTACACTGAATTGGGCTGTTTCATTTATACTGTGACAGGTGCGATGTTTGGCTTGAGAGATTAGATTATGATAACTTTTTCATATTTTTTTAGATCATGGAAAAGAAAATTCTGTGCAGCTTAACAACATGAGTGGTGATGGAGTTCTCCAGGCAATGGAGAAACTCATAACATCAGGAGCACCTTGAATTTTTTCTGCCAAAGAGAAGTGAAGGATCACTGGAAATGTGATTGTAAAAAATTTTTTGTGATGTTAAATTTCCCTTCATGACACTGNCTCTGTTCAGCGCTGCAGCATTAGACTTTGGTATTCAGTGGGGGTTGTGGTTAGTAGCTTCTTTTTTTCAAACAGAGAAATTCTACGATTTAGCTGGCTCGTCCACATTCATCCTCCTTACATGGCAAACGCTGCGATGGGGTGGGAAGTTTCACCTTCGCCAGCTCGTTCAGTCTAGCTGCGTCACATTGTGGGGACTTCGTTTAGGACTTCATCTATTCAAGCGAGTTCTTCAGGATGGAAAGGATAGCCGCTTCGACAAGGTCCGAGGTAACCCTGGAGTGTTCTGGATCTACTGGACATTACAAGGTGTATGGGTATGGACGACGCTGCTGCCCACCATGATTTTGAACACTTCTGCCAAAGACGAGAAGACAACCTGGAAGGATTACCTGGGATGGTCACTTTGGTTAGTCGGGTTTATACTAGAATCACTAGCCGATAGCCAGAAGTCGCAGTTCCGTGCAGATCCCGCTAACAAGGGAAAATGGATTTCATCTGGACTCTGGAGCCTTTGTCAATATCCTAACTATCTTGGCGAGATTCTGATGTGGTCCAGCTTGTTCCTTCCAGCTTCTTCAGTGATGTCTGGTCATCAGTATTGGAGTGTAGTCTCTCCCATGTTTGTGGCTTATTTGCTGACTCGTGTGAGTGGTATTCCAATCTTGGAGAGGCAAGGATTGAAGAAATGGGGGCATCTCACAGAATACCAAAAGTACCGTCAAAACACAGCTGTACTGGTCCCTTACATCTGGTAGATATGTGATGGACAAAATCCTCATTTAGAAAGCTTTCGATGTTTGTAATTCTGTGCTTTTCACTCTAGACTGTGCTTGGTGGTTGGTGGTGGGCGTGGGGTGGGGCAATGTGGCAAAACACAGGGACTAACATCATTGGCCTTTATTGGCTTACAAGTACTCTGTACGTTTGTTAGAGCACAGCACAGTATATTATATATGCACTGACACTACACATGTAATGAATCATTCCACTTCATACATGCACTGTATGTTCACCAACGCTGGTTAATCCACTAAATAAAAATACTTGTCCTTCGCCTAACAATTTGTTTACTTTAGACCTCTAAGAATGAACCTAAAATCCCAAGGTGGTCTGGATGATAATTTGCAGTTACCACCATATAACTTGGAATTCTTTTCTACCACTGATAAAAGCAACTGCAATTTGTGAACAATTTCAAATGCAAATTGAAGACCACTTTCTTCTCCAGCTTATAAGCACTGTCACATATATACAGGCATTAGCACTTATTTTGATCTATTTATCTAGCTGTTTTCAAAATATATTTTCATTTTCTTCTAAATACACTAACTCATGTCTGTTACTATTGAAGTGCTGAGGAAGGCTGCTCCAAAATAGTTATTGCTGTTCATTATTAATAAAATAATTTTGGTGAGGTACAGTGACCCAATGGTTGGTGTAAGGGAAAGTCTGCATACAAGCAAAATGGCCCATCAGGCTGAAGCTTATCCAGGTTTCTATAAGCATGAAGCTACAAGGAGTATTTCTACTCCCCCCTGGATGGGATGCCAGTCCATCACAGGGTTACCCCCAGCATTAAGTTCGCCGGTACCAATTTGTTAACCTGGGGTGGAGAGGCACTGTGAGAGTAAAGTGTCTTGCCCAAGAACACAACACAATGTGCCTGGCCAGGGCTCGAACCCGGACCGCTCGATCCAGAGATGAGCGCACTAACCACGAGGTCACCACACCTCTCACAATATGGTTGGTGTACTGCGCTCTTAATTGAGAACAAACTTTACCATTTCAGTAACTAACTCTGCTTTACTAGCCAGTGTGTAAGTTGTGGTGACCTCAGAATATGTGCACCTGTTTTTTACACTGTGGCATGCAATGAATGAACACCCAAGGAAACATGGCCATGCAGAGCAAATTTTCTTTTTACATTGTGGTCAGTGGACCCAGGAAAGACAGACTGCTTGTCTTCTAGGGTGAACAATTTGCTTGTCTGTTCAGCTCTTGGTCTTTAAAACTCTGTGTTCTTGGGCAATGCACTCTACTCTCAGTCCTTCTCTCAGCCCAGGCGTCAAAATCGGCACTGGTGTTTTGAATGCAATGGATTACCATCCATATTAGAGAGGTGCCCCTTCTGCCAAGATTTGTGTCTGGTCTGCAGTGAAGTGATTTTCATATAAAATGCTTGGTAAAAGATTGCCCAGGAGAAAGGTAGCCATTCTAACAAGGATAACGTTTCTACAAATAGGCCTTAAAAGAGTTAAATACAGGCATTAAACTCTCATTAAAATTCACAAAAACTGCAGAGAGCATTCTTTATTATAGATAGTTTCGAGGGACAGAAAGTAAAGATTGCGGAGAGCAGTGGAGCTTACTCAAATAGAAAATTTAGCAAATATATTAAAATATTAAATAGCTACCATTATCAGTAATCACCAATAATGTGGTTTATACTATTTAAATATGTTCTACATGATTCAGAAAAATCTTATTCCCCGGTCAATCTATCAGACCTACCATATCTTTTTGTGTTTTGTTATTGACCATAGTGCTGGTTGTTAAGGAAATGTTTGGCACCAACAGAAACCCCAACAGAGAAGATAATAGAGGTTTGCAAGTAGAACTGTAATAAATTCAGAATACTTCTTACTTTTACTATACTTCTTCCAAACAAAGTTGAATTCATCCAACAAATAGTCTTACTGATGACATGAAAGTACATGGCAAAACTGTCGAATCCTCCTACTTATTAAATGTCACATACAAATGAACTTCTCGCATCTTGCAATTAAATCTTTTGACTTCACCAAACAAAAACTTAGTTTCTGTTAACAATCTACACTGAAAGATTGGTTTTGAGATTTCCAGACTTAAAAAA